AGCCCTAATGTACATCTCGTCAGTTATTTGATTAAAAAAACAGTAAATAACAGAAATATTGTGAAATATTATTACAATTTGAAATAACTGTTTTTTATTTGAATATACTGTAAAATGTAATTTCTTCCTGTGAATTAACGCTGAATTTTCAGCATCATTACTCCAGTCTTCAGTGTCACATGATCTTCAGAAATCATTCTAATATGCTGATTTGCTGCTTAAGAAACATTTCTGATTATTATCAATGTTGAAAACAGTTGTGCTGCTTCATATTTTTGTGAAAACCATGATGCATTTTTATTTTCAGGATTCTTTGATGATCTTTGAAATAGAAATCATTTGTAACTATCTTTACTGTCATTTTATTCATTTTAATGCATCCTTAATAAATAAAAATATCAATTTCTTTAAAGAAAAATGGTAGTGCATATAAAAGTTTTCTTTAATATTAGTTAAGTTATAGAAAAAAAAAATCACTTGAAAACTGTTATACCATTGCTATACCATGGTATTTAAAATTGACTTCAAATGAGCTGAGCGAAGGGCAAAGGCCAAATCTTGGGTGTCTGCCAGCAAGGTTCAAATAATTGGTTTCCTTTAATGCTGATAAGATTAAACACAGAATACTAATTAACAAGTCCTGACCGCAGTCAGCTGGTCTGAGGGAACATCCCATCAACAGATGGCTAACATTTGTATGTAAAAATTTAGCACCTTTAAAAACAGACCACATGCATATGCATGAGCTACAAGTCCAACCGGCCCAACAGAAACAAAATCCTGCGGCTGAGATTTTCTAAAGGATCTTCTTAAGGATTCTTTAAGGATCATCAAAGCATTTAGAGAGCAGATAATTTGGATGTTTGCTGTCCTCGCCACTCTGTTTGCTCTGAAAGGGAAGCGGCTGTGCTGTAATCCCTCCGGCCAGACCAGATCGCTTTCCTGTCCGAGTGCTAATCAGCTGATCAAACTAACGAGAGTGAACTGTGGGTGACGGGGGTCTGATGAAAACACTGATTCAAGCAGACAATACGCCACAGCCTGAACCAGTTTCACACTCTGAGGTCATGGGAGATTAGTTCACACAGATCAATTTAGAGGTAGCATGTAACGAATCAATGAAACGAGAGAACAGAATTAACAATGGACAAATAAATCAGATAAACTTAAATTGCTGTAAAACAAAATGACAGCTGAATTCTGTGGCGCTTTCTTTGGAAATCTGGGCCTGTTGACTTATTTCCTCATGTGACATTTACAGAACGTGAGTCAATATTTAAATACTTCAGATACAACAGTATTGTGTTAAACTATGGCATGGATTCTGATTATATTTAATTTAATTTTTAATTTAATTTAGCCAAACCCCTTTGACATTAAATCTCAGGGGGACTTCAAGTAAATATTTTAAGTTAACATTTCAGTAATTTAACAATACATTCACATGTTCACCATTATCTCACATAGTCACATGACATGCAGATAAACAAATGCAATTTTTATTTGAGTTTCATTTTGATTTTAAAATTATTTATTTTTATTAGTTCATTATTATTATTATTATTTATCAATTAATTAATTAAATATTTCTTTTATTTTTAGGATTTAATGAAATATTAGCTTTTCATCAACTCATAAACCCCTAAATCCATTACAAACCTCAGTTTGGAAAACCCCGGCTTAAATAAAAGATATATTCACTTGAAGCTTTCATTAAATGCATTCATCAATAAAATTGTGTTTGGTCAACTAATGTATTTTACGGGCACATTTTGTGCATAATGTCTCTAAATGGTATAACTGGCTGCTTTCCCAGTTATTATAGATGAAGATTTCCTCATGGTCTCTAGCGGAGCGGCAACTTGAATTACTGCTCTGCCAAACAACAACACAAACAACACCAGAGCAATTAATGTAATCTGAACCCGTATGACGGGACTTCATTCAAACTGTGCTGATGAATTAATATAAACCCCATGTCTGTATCGGTTTGCTTTCAATTTCCACCATGCCAATTAGCTGATACAAGCTATAAATGAGCCCTACTGTATGAACTACTTCTTGCCGTCTTCAGGCTGTGAGACTTGGCACTCACTCCCCATGATGAGCATTTATTAATAATGAACAGACTCTGAAACATTAATGCTTAACCCTGGCAGAGGCACCAATTCATTTGGACAGATGGATTGAGATGTAAACACTATGAATGACAATGAAACTGTCGACCAGCAGAGGAGCCAGACTGAACACAGTCTGCGAGACCCGACATACAGTACATGCAGAGGATTTGATAAAAGCCACCTGACAAAACCAAACGAAAAACAGCATTCAGTCACAGACTAGGACAATAAAGTCTGATTGATTGATAAATAAATAAAGTCAAATTAAAAAGCTCTGAATGCAAGTGAAAAATCACAAGGACAAGCTAAAATCTTAACAGGGAAATGAGGGAATAAGAACAAAAAATGTATCTTCTTCAAATAAACCTATAGTATGACTTCATAAGGTTTATAATATAATATATAATATTGTAGTGCATTAGTTTTCTGGATTAATTTATTACTGACAGCTGTGCTCGCTATGGCTGCGTTTACACTGGCACAAAAAATCCAATCTTTTGCTCGCATCTGTCACAGATCGGAATTTGTTGCACACGTGTAAACACAAAAACCCGCACGAGATCCGATTTTTTTGCATCCGATCTGAGCCACTTCCAAATGTGGATTTTAATCGGATACACATCTGATATCTGGACATCCGACCTACGTCTAAACACAATATCCGATTCTCGACAGAACTCCCAATGCGAGGGCGACACGTTTGCTCATAAAGATTTTAATGGCGTTTTAATGCCGGCGTGCTGTATGCGCTCGCATTTTATTGAAATGGAAACTTTTTATAGGTAAGAAATTGCACATTCAGGAGCTGATTTTCAACCCCCGCCCCGAGAATTATATAAATAATTTTAACGGCCATTTAAAACCCGAGGGTCCATGTGCATAGTGATCACTGCAGACAATCCTTTTGGGTGGGAATTAATGTAAACACAGATATCGGATACCAGTCGTGTCTAAAGTGAATGTAAACAAACGTGCCAAAAAATCGATATGGTCAAAAGATCGGATCTGTGCATTAAGACTTGCAGTGTAAACGCAGCCTATGACTGTTGCACAGAAAAAAATCTGTGTGAAGATATTTTCAAAATAAATAAATAAAATAGCCACATTTGCTAGTGAAATGCTGCTAGGTAAAAATCTTGCCAGTGAATAATTACTTACATTTGTGTCTCATCCTCACATAAACCTAAGACTTTAGAGATTTCAAAATATATAATATCTTTGTTCATGAGACTTCTGGACTAATTTATGATTGACAGATGTGCTTGCTATGAGCAGTCCAGAAAAGATAAGGGTGAAGATTCTTCAAAAAATGCATGCATTGCATACATGCATACATACATAAATACCATAAGGGTTTGGGATGGCATAATTGACAGACAGGGTCACATTTGTGATTCTTCTGCACATAAACGTATAGTATGACTTCAGAACACGTATATAGTGCACAAGTTTTCTTCTGGACTAACTTATGATTGCCAGATGAGCTCACTATTAACTGTATTCAGAAAAGATCTGGGTGAAGATTTTTCAAAATGAATAAATCCCAGAGTACAGTTTTGGGACGACACAGGACAGAATAGAAACAACATTTTGAGAGGTCAACAAAACAACACGCAGACGGCTTCAGACTCGTACATCAGAAAACTAGAACTGTCACAGCTAATAAACTGAAACAGGAAGAAAGCCTGCAATTCAGCACACATCTGACCTCATCTACCCTCTTCTCCAACATCCTCCTCTCCTCTTGCATCACACGTCTGCTGTATTTCCCCAAAACTTCACCATTCTCTGTTTCCACTCAAGCACTGACAACAATCGTCACATTATGCACTAACCGCCTCATAACCCACTCAATAAGTAAAACATGATTTAATAAACCATATTACACCCACCTCTTATCAAAACAATGCTTCATTGTCTCACTAAGCATTTAATTACACAGGCCCGGTGCAGCCGGTACTCTCGGGTCAGTATGTACTGTAATTAGCAGTACGTCAGGCGTCTAATTGACACTCTGCACTGTAGGGTATCATTCAACAGCAAGCAATGTAAGGATCTCAGGTTACCACTGTTCTAGTCTCTGACTGCACACAATGCCATGATGCGCACCAAAACAGCAAGAGCTGATTGGCTGATGCTGCACAGCTGCCAGGCATTCCATTGGTCACTTTACAAGTCAGTGTTCCTGAATAAATGGACAGTTCTTGTCCAGATAAACTGCAAACTGGACCAGACTTTATGCTGGCAGCAAGACCAAATACTGTTCTGATGACTGTGCAACTTTATCACTGTGTGAAAAGGAATATTTACACTGGTGAGAGCAAAGAAGAAAATGCCCCTGGGAAGAGGGTAATTTAAGGGTCTCTCTGGGTCGAAGACTTTATCACATTAAACATGTAGTGACTTAACTCACATGTAACGTCAGTGCACTAGATAAGAAAACATTAATGCAAACTAATTCTGCAGGAAATTTTCTCAGAACTAACTTCACGTTTCTGAGCCATTTTTTATTTGTTTTTATTTTATTTTTATTTTATTTTTATTTGAAAATATAAACATTTCAAAATTATATTACATATGTATTATACAGAAATATTACACCAAAATAAAATAAAAGTAAGTTTGTTTTAAATATATATATTGTGTGTGTGTAAAAAAATATGTTATTGTTTTAGATTTTATATACTACCTCATAGTTGATCACACAAAATATGAAAAAGCCACTGAAGATTAAAATAAACACTTTTATACCATATTATTTTTTATATTATAATGTATGTGTGTACTATCAGTCAGACAGATAGATAGAACTGTCCCTGAATACAATAATGCAATGCCAATCATGCATAACATATACATACATACTATAAACATACTCACCCAGTTTCATGAGTGAAGCCAGCAAAACCCATAATGAAATCTCAAAGGGGAGCCTGACGTGATCATAACCCAAAGACAGAACCGGGAAGGGCTTCTTGGACTGAGTGTGGTTCCCTTGATTCTGGGGCCCGTGGTTATGGCTGTCCGGGGACTTTCCGTGATTGGTGCCCATGTCTGGAGAGCTGGTGCCCACCAGGAGCCCCAAGACGAGGATGAACATCTTGAGCTCCATGATAGTTGCGCGTTTCAGAAGATGAGAGGAATCCAATCACGCGATATTATCTGACCAAGTCTGTCAGCTCTTGAACTAGCTCTAGGGTGAAGTTTCGTTTGAATCTACTGGGTAATCCCTGGATCATTTTCTGACTTCAATCTAAAAGGCTCTTGGGTTTCCTAACGTTACTTCCTGGCTTGAGTAAAGCACTCTCCAGGTGAAGACACGGCAAACCAGGAAATATAGACAGGTAAGTGTGTACATACCTGCATATGAAGCAGGAAATATAAGCGGGTATACACGCTCAACTCAACTATTTGGTGTGAGAAGGCATTACACTGTAAGGTGTTCATTTTCTTCCTCCATCATCATCATCATCATCATCATCATCACCAACTGCCCCTCAGAAACCGCGTGAAAAGGACACTCAGTGACAACTCCAAGACCCTCCTCACCGATAAAAAATCAGTCCTCAAATCATGTTTTCCTCATCTTGGTCGTTTTTATCTTCTGATAGCATGACAAGGAAAAGTCGCTCGAACTACGGATGACTTTGCTGTCACGCGAGCTCCTCAGCGCTCCTTAAAGAACTTATACGATGTCTTTCAGCGCTAACACTAACCATTTCACACACACCGACTCCTTTTTCCATGTCTGCAGCGCGTGATGCGGAGCAAATATACGAACCGCTCTAAAAACACACCCTTTGGGCAGGGTTTTCAAGTCAATCGGAGGGGTCTCTTTATTGGACTGCAGCGGCATCCAGTGGCGAGGAGGGGCGCTGGGTTTTTGCGTTGGGGTTGCCAGATCACGTGTTTTCCCGCTGGGATTATATGAAAAAAATGCAAAATAAAACCGCATAATAAAATAAAATAAATCTGTCTACATTTACTCACACTCATTTCGTTTCATGCATTGTAAGTGAATGGGCATTGGTGCTGTCAAACTTAAAAATGACAAAAAAATACAAAATAAATAAAAAGCACCATAGTAGTCAATATATTTCCTGCAGTTACTCAACTCGTTTCAGAATCATATGACTTTCTTTCTTCGATGGAACACGCAAAAAATGGTCATTCTCTGTATCAATTTTTTTTTAAAGGAACACAATAATGCAAACACCACAGTTGTCAATATATTTCATCCATTTATTCTTGTTTTATACCCGCAGGGCGGTCTTTACATATGTACTCATATCAACTCATAACACATGTACACACACACAAATATAAAATAAACTAAAGTTTAAAATATTTTAACTTATAAATATATAGTTGATCACACAAAATTAAGCAACTGAATATAAAATATAGAATATAAAATACATATGTTATGATAGGCCCATATATTTTTTTATATTATATTATATTATTTGGTATTATAAAATAATGCAAACACCACAGTTGTCAATATATTTCATCCATTTATTCTTGTTTTATACCCGCAGGGCGGTCTTTCTTCAATGGAATCACTCATTTCCATATAATGATAGTGAATGGGGACTATCAAACTCTAAAAAAAAAAAAACTAAATATGTATAATCTGAAACCAACCGTCTTTGATTACGGATTGGTGTGTGATGAGTTTAGGTATCGGTTGGATACTGTCACGCATATCTGGCAACCCCGCTTGCAGTGACAGGATGATTCAGTCAATTCAACAAACTCCTGGTTTATTGTTCCCTCCTCATCCATTGTTAGTCATACACTAACTGTGCTGCTTTCCAAGAATCAGTGAGGTTCCCTCCCTCGATCCTGTTTGTCCATCACGTCTATATCACAGTTTCACTGCGTTAGAGCCGCTTGTCCTTCAGTCTCAGCTGAAGGGGACTCAATAGATCCAGAAAACTGCAATGCAGCTCGGCACACAGCCAGGAATGTGCATTTTGCGTCTAATTACTGCTATTGGGTCTAAGTAATATGACAAAGTGTTTTTAAATGAAACCAAGTGAACTAACATGCACCAGTGATATTTATTTTTATATAACAAACACATAACATTATATTTTAATACAGTATATTATGTTACACACACATACATGTATATGTATATATATATATATGTGTGTGTGTGTGTGTGTGACATGCACCAACATAGCCATGTGAGACCAACTAGTAGTTTCACAATCCCCTTGCGGATGCTGACTTGTCTGAGTGGAACCAAGTAAACAACTCAGATAACTATAATCATGAGGAAGGAGAAGTTAAAATTACTCACTGGTGTACAAAAGATCTACTGTATCATGCATTTACCTGCATTGTTTTTATTAGGCATCATTAGGCACAATTAGTTTTGGCCCCACATGTAGCCTATATTCACACAGATTGCATAAAGTCTGTTTGGCCGTTCCCAAAGGAATAATGAGCCGACTGTCTCTTACTGTACACAGCCTATATCTTTGTAAAAATAAAACTGTAGGCTATGTCTAAACAGGACATCCTTGTTAGATGTAAAACACAACTGAATGAATAAACAATTCATATCTACATAGTGATAGGAACAGAAACCTGAAGGACAAAGATGCAAAAGGCCATAAAGTTCTTCAAAGGAGGCCAAGAAGATTTGATCATAATCATTCTTACTAAAACATATCCAGTTTTCACACCAAAATGTATATATATATATATATATATATACAGTATATATATGAAATGACCTTGTATAATACACAGTAGCTTTATATCATTTTAAAAACATTAATTTTGAATCAATGTTTTAAATGTCATATTGAATACTTTATAATTTGATCTTGTGCATCATGCAAAAATATAACTGACCTCGTATTCGACCTACAACCAGTTGACCTCTTGACCTGAACATTTAAGAGTTTTCTCTGCATCCTGCAATCGTCTGCTTGAGCTTTTCATGTGCTGAAATAGTTTCCCTGCGATGCCAAGCTGCATCAAACACAGGACATAAACAGACACAAGCTGGAGTGGTCAGAGAAAAACACATGCAGATTTTATTGAGTCTTAAATGCATGCTGGGTTTATTCTTGCGACTTGATTGTTATATTGAGTTCAAAGACTAAGAGGTCTTACATTGTGACCCAGAATGTTAAAGGAATGGCAAAACAATCCTAACCTTACATTACAGGCAAAACTGGAACATAGTTTGAGGCAGGGTTTTTATCGTTAACTAAAACTCAAACCTTTTCAAACATTTTCATTATGTTTTAAAATAAAATTATAAAAATAAGATAAAATAGAATAAATATTTACTGAAATATTACAATAAAATAAAACAAAATATTTAAAGATATAATATTAAAATACTAAATTAACATTAAAAGTAAAATCTTAATGTCATTACTTGAAATAAAAAATATTAACTGAAATATTAAAAATAAAATATTAAGCAGTAAATACAAAATATTATAAAATAAAAAATACTTAAATAGAAATAATATAGTAAAATATGAAAATAAAATATTTTTAAAAATTACTTTTATTGAGGCAACTTTTCTCATTCTCGTTTAGTTAAGTTAAAGTACTAAAATAACTAAAAATAAAAACGATATACACTTTTTTTTTAAACAAACTAATAAAAACTAATAAAAATGACAAAAACATACTTTAAAATTAAAACAGAAAACGTAAAAATAAAAAATAATTCAAAATATGAACAAAAATATAATAGCATAGCAAGATAATAAAATAAGTTGCACTTTTAGGTTGGTGGAGAAGAGAAAAAAATTAATTTTAAAAGGAAGCTAAAAATAAAAACAAACATGCAAATAAATAAGCAACATTCACTCCATCATCTATTCCATCCTCAGAGACTCATCATAGTTAATATATTGATATACAGTGCCTTGCGAAAGTATTCATATCCCTTCATTTTTTTCACATTTTGTTATGTTGCAGCCTTATGTTAAACTGCTTTAAATTACTTTTTTTTCCACATCAATCTACACTCCATACACCATAATGACAAAGCAAAAACAGAATTGTAACAACTTCTTAAATTAATTAAAAATAAAAAAAAACTGAAATAAGTACATTGCATAAGTATTCATACCCTTAACTAAATATTTAGCTAAAGCACCTTTACAGTCTCAAGTCTTTTTTGTTTGATGCGACAAGCTTTGATCATCATCATTTGGCAATTATCTGCCATTCTTCTCCTCATCTCTTCACCTCTCAAGCTCTGTCAGGTTGGATGGGGGCAGATGCACATTTTCAGGTTTCTCCAGAAATATTTGATTGGGTTCAAGCAATATGAATGCTCCTGAGCTAAATTTCAACTGTTCCAAATACTTTGGAAATGGAAGTATCCAAATACTTATGCAATGGAATCATTTAAGTTTTTTATTTTTAATAAATTTGCAAAGATGTTAAAAACCTGTTTTTTGCTTAGTCATTATGGTGCATGGAGTGTAGATTGATGTGGGGAAAAAAAATAAATTAAAGCAGTTTAACATAAGGCAGCAACATAACAAAATGTGAAAGGCACTGTATATACTGTACATATATGTATGTGCATCGATCTTTTATAAAGACATTGGTTATAAAAACCATGTTTATATATACTTTGTATTGTGAATTTTGAGAAAAAAAGTTGAAAATGTAAAATGTACAGTTTTGTGAATAACATAAAAAAAAAAAAGTTGAGCACCAAGTCCCAGAGTTGCATTTTTGTAATATTCAGGAAAAAATTTCTTCTATTTCCAGGATCATGGAGGATTGAATGGAGATCCTCAGGGACGCGAGAGAACGTGGAGAATGCAGAAGAAACGCTTGTGTCTTTACAAGGCCTCCGATGTCTGAGAACGACAGGAAATGAACAAACATCCATGTGACATTAGATGAGGAACTTCTGAGGACTTCAGATGAATACTGAGTATATGAGATTTGTGGATGTTTTGACTGCTTACTAATATCAGACAGGCATTAAATGTGCTGCCAGCTCACATGTCTATCATATCAATACACAGTGAAATATATCTTTGTTTTTTATCTTTTAAGCACTTGTGGTTTGAAAGTGTGGTTAAATCTTTTTTCTTACCAAGAACAAACATCGTGACTCACTTGCAAATAGCATTTACTGTAGATTGTGAAAAGCAAACAAGCGTTAATTTAAGCTAAAACACTCACGTAAGAGCTGTAAACCATGACAGACCTTTTCCTCGTGACCCATATTGAGGTCAAATGGTTGTTTTGAAGTGACTGTTTTTTACTGCAGTATTCTTGCAGTGACCACTGAATGGTTTGACTTTCTCCACCACTGCAGAAACAAAACCACAGAAGAACACGACATCAAACATGCAGAAATGAAAGGCATCAGATCATCATATTCAGCACAAACACAGTTATCGGTGAGCTGCTCTTATTAGACTCCTAAAATAGTTACTATTTCATCCTGGATCAAAGTTAAGTGTTTCGATGACACCATGAACAATTATGACAAATGCCACTTTAAATAAATGTCTCTGTCACTAACAAACAACATGATTATATTCATGCTGTAATGTCTGGACAAACATCATAAAAGCATATATGCACTGATGCAATAGTTAATGACATTTAAATCTTCTTCAATAACAAACTATTTCTCAACCAGGCCTGAATGTTTTCACTAATAAGTTTTGAAACAGTATGCATTCAGATATTGTCACATGACCTCATCATGCTGCATGTTTAGTTCAGTGAGTAAAGTCTGATTATCATCTAAACATGCTATTTTGCA